TGTTGGTTAGTTCATTGTTTTTCATATGTGAGGTCATTTACTCAAGTCTTTTATTGCATATTTTTTTAGTAACATAATAAATTTGAAATTAAAAGTTAAAAACTAAGAAAATGACACTAACAGGATCTGAGTTAGGGTCTGAGATGGAAGAAAAGTCTTGCAAACCAACAATACCAAGTAAACTTGTGTCCTTATTCTAGTTTCAAAATATATATATATATATATATACATACATATATATATATATATATATGTCTGAGATGGAAGAAAAGTCTTGCAAACCAACTATACCAAGTAAACTTGTGTCCTTATTCTAGTTTCAAAATATATATATATATATATATATATATATCTATATATATATATATATATAGACTTGGGATCATGTGAGACCGGCCTGTTTTCGTGAGACTCGTGAGACCCGTGAGACCAGCATTTTACACTTGAAACTTCACAGCAAAATGTTGTGAAGGTAACTTTTTAAAACCTTCACAGTGTTTTTGCTGTGAAGGTTCGACTTTTTTTAAACCTTCACAGCGTTTTTGCTGTGAAGTTTACGTGTAAAAATGTGGTCTCACGGGTCTCACGAAAACAGGCTGGTCTCACGTGAACCCAACCCTATATATATATATATATATATATATATGAACTATTGTGTCAAATACGAACAAAAATTGACATATATATAAACTTGGACTGCATAGCATTTATGAATGCAATATGAACATAATAAGTATAGCTGCTACAAGAAAGGAAATAAATAATAGTTTCTTCATTATGAACACAATATGAACAGCTTGTGAACAATAGCTCCTTCATTATGAACACATTCAGGAGCGAGCAATGTTGAGATATGTAGCTAGTGTACATATGAACACAATATGAACACTTGTGAACAATAATTCATTCATTATGAACACATGCAGAAGCGAGTCAATGTTGAGATATGCAACTAGTGTACATATGAACACAATATGAACAGCTTGTGAACAATAGTTCCTTCATTATGAACACATTCAAGAGCGAGCCAATGTTGAGATATGCAGCTAGTGTACATATGAACACAATATGAACACTTGTGAACAATAGTTCCTTCATTATGAACAATGGGTTTATCCATAATAGCTTGAACGATACTGAAAACTTTACCACCGGTTCTTTTCTACCAATCACAAATTGTGCTTTCTTTAGGCTCCTCGCTACTCGTTAGTAGAACACAACCCATATGATATTCAAAAACATTATGGATAGAAAAATCAATATTATAAAAAAAAAACAAAATCAATAATAAATTAAGAAAAATTATAAATTCAATATTAGATGTCTTGATTCATGTCCCTACTAGAACATATATGAAAACACCTGAATGTATATGAACACTAATTGCAGCCTATGGCATGGCAGGTTAAGCATCACAAGCAGTTGATGGAGCCGAATGGTTAACATAATTGGATTGCATAACAAATTAAGTTGACGATGAACTCATTTCATTTTAACATATGAATTGAGCTCGTAGTAATAATTAAAGAAAAAGCTACCAACACAATATGAACTATAAAAAATACAAAAACGTCATAATCAACATAATTTCAATTAAAAATTCATATGAACACACACAGTTCATTAGATGTCTTGATTCATGTCCCTACTTGAACATATATGAACACAACTGAACGTATATTAATACTAGTTGCAGTCTATGACAGGTCAAGCATCACAAGTAGCTGATGGAGCCGAATGATTATCAGAATTGGATTGCATAACAAATTAAGTTGACGATGAACTCATTCCATTTGAACATATGAATTGTGCTCGTAGTAATAATTAAAGAAAAAACTACCAACACAATATGAACTATAAAAAAACGTCATAATCAACATAATTTCGATTAAAACAAATACAATAACATATTAATCGATTACCAATACAAACGCTTTGATTATTTTCTTCACTTCCGAAACTCGAAGTCCGATTATCATCGTAAACCATTTTAACCTTCTCATTGTTGTCGAGTTGTTTTCCAATTGGTTTATCCATATTAGCTTGAACGATATCGAAAACTTTACTATTATGTCTCATTTAACAATCACAAATTCAAAAACATTATAGATAGATAAATCAATATTATAGAAAAGCAAGATCAATAGTAAATCAGCAACAATTATGCGATTTTTTGATTTTGTAACTCTCAATTAATAATATGGGAGTTACATACAAACTAAAATTACATATTTAACCTTGTCATTAAATTATGAGATGGTTATGAACCTAGATAAAAGATGGATTTTTATTGATTGAGTTTGGTTAACAAAGTTAACACAATAATTTTGGTTAAATATATATATATATATATATATATGTATGTGTGAGAGAGAGAGAGAGAGTGAGAGAGAGAGAGAGAGTGAGTGAGAGAGATTGATTTACATATGGACTTGGGTTATAATCAAATTTAAACCGATTCACATGCAAATTTATTTTACTATTTACAATTTGACATAAATCTAAGTTATAAGTTGATTCATGTATAAGTTATGTTTAAAATTCAAATATATATCTATATTAAGTTTCACAAGTTTACATATGAACCAATATACAAATAATTATCATCGTCCGACGATGATTTATTGGACCTTTTGCGTTTTAGTTACATTTCAAATGATCAATGAGAATATCAATGGCCGTGTTCGCATATAAGATTTAATTCAATTTCCAAATTGTAAAGTATTCAATGATTTCATGGTGGAAAATTGGATCAAAATTGATGGTTATCAATTCTCAAAAAACGTTATTGTAAAAATAGAAGATAAATTAGTAAAAGAACTCTTGAAAATCAAAACGCTAATACAGACGTTGAGATTGTTTCTCTAATTCTTAATATTTTTTGTGCTTCTCATTTAAACCTAACATTATATTTATACTATCTTATTAAGTAAATTTAGCAAAAGTCTTAAAGTTTTAAAATACTAAATTACCAAAATACCCTTTATACTCACTTTTTTACTTTTTCACTTTTTCACCCCCTTCATCTCCTCACATACATTCACCCTCTCACATGCACTCACTCTCTTACAACCGATTTCTTTAAAATTATAATTTTAAATTTACACTTTATACCCATATAATTAATTTATTTATTTATTTTACGTCCTTTACTTATAAGTGTTTTATTTTAAACATTTATCAAATTAACATACATAATTGTATATCAAGTAAAACATGTTTAAAAAATACATTTTTATTTTAACAAGTTATACCATTATAATCGTCCCGTTAATACCTTCGAAATGAGTCCAATATTGAATAGTTTTTGACTTATATTATTATATATTATATATAATGTGAAAAAATATTTTTAATATTTTCAATTTATACTTTTATAGTTATTTATTTATATATATGTTATATATTTTAGGGTTAGGCTGTCCAAATTGCACTGTATAATATGTTTTGAATTAATATGTTCTTGGGTTTTTTTGAAATATATATATATATATATATATATTAATTCAACTTTAATCTGAGTTTCTGCACAAGAAAGAAGGTAAGCAGTTGAAATTTCATTAGAAACTCATCTTTTTTGTTTTTTCATGGCTTATGATCTATCAAATTTATAGTTTTTTTATTGGTTTTGAGTGTTTATCTTAAAACTCAGTTTCTTGGTTCTTTGCTCTTGGTGTAAATCGAATACATTTGTAGAGTTGTTTAAATATGTTGGATTTTAAATATATTGGATTTTAAACTATCATACAATTTTTTTCATCGATAGTCAGTAATTAGAACCATAACTCTTATTTATTCAAATTGTATTAATATGTAAAGACCAAATGTAACTTATATCATCGTTAAATCTTATCTTATAAAACCAATGAAACTTCAAAATCGTTATAATTCATAGCTCTCGCTGCATTGCGCGGGTACACAACTAGTATACACACACATACACAGGGTTCAGATGAGAAAAACCAAAAATGTTGAGAACATGAAAGGAGACCTCAACCATCTTGTGATTTCAAAACTGAATAAACAAAAAGTGTTATTTTCGACAAACCACAAGAACCAAATTTGTAGTATATTCCTATATTTATGTGTTATATATATTCCTTAGGTTTGTCATTTTAATTATATTATATATATATATATATATATGTGTGTGTGTGTATGTATATGTGTACATATATGTGTATATATATGTATATACTAGGATTGGGTTCCGATGAGAATGAGAATTGTGAAAACATTGAGAAGGTTAAGAATGGATTTACATCCTTGGATCAATCATAATTGAAGAGTTCCACTAGAAGCATCAAATCAATTCTCTTCTAAAAGGCAATTCATGGATTGGTATGAGATTCAAAGTGATCAATGGTCCAAATCACTTCTTACACTTTTCACCTTAACTACTATTAATTCTTACATGATCTTTCGTCTTATATACTATACATAAAAACTTATTATTAAATACTCGGGTGCCGAGGTATCCCCATCCCTAATTAACAAATTCGAGGTCTCCCAGTCAGGCCGAGTTCAAATGTCGGTTTCCAACCGGAGTACAGGTTTTTTTGCCACCCCTAAACATCAAAGCTCATCAGCACCCTATCCATGTATATTTTCAATCTCAAACACAAAGGATGCACAGGCCATTGCTAAATTGACTCGCACAATTAAAAAATAAAAATTAAAGGCATTAAAGATGCAACTTTGTTCAATTTTTGTGTATTGCCTTAAATTAACAAAAGTAGTTGCAGCCTATGGGTGGTGTCACTATACTGAGCGGCCGTTAATCAAATGCTTACCCGGGTAAGCGCTTGCTAAGTCACATTACCTTACAGGATGAATATGATAAGGACTAAGAATCTTACCTAGTAAGAACAAGACAAGGACCAAGAGTCTTACCCGGTAAGTGAAGGCGACCGACTCTTATCATGGTAAGCGCTTACCAGGTAAATTGTTGCATACAATATTGTTTTAGTGGATTAAAACCTTACCCGGTAACCAAATGATGGTGTTAAATCTTACTGGTAAGTGTTTGGCATTACAAAAGAAAAAACCACTTAAATGTTGCAAACCCCTTCTATGCATGAGGGGAAATGTACCTTTTTGAAATAGCAATCATAACCTATACTCGTTAAGAAATTCTGATTCAAGAAAAGCAAATTTACCCTCGATTTTTCTTCAGATGATGGACAGTGATGCATCTGTTAAGCAATGGACAAATACAATAAAGTATCAGTAAAGGGTTTGATTACACTATAATAGTTATAAATAACAATCTACGATTTTTGTCCGTTATTTGTTAAAAATTACGACTTTCTGCCTGATGCTTTCAATATTACAGGTTTCGCCCCTCTGTGGCTAGCATTTCATTGTTGTTTCCGCCCCTGAAGCTAACTCCATCGATGGTTTATCCTTAGGTATTAGGGATAAACACAACGATGAGTGGTTTACCACAGGCACGAAAAGAAAATCCAATGAATTGTAAAGCCACAGGGACGAAGTAATTCTAATAGAGACGAAAATCGCATTTTTTGTCCATGTAAGGGTCATCACTGTCACGTTTTACAAGGTAATCAAAATAGAATAATATAAACGTGTCTTACCGGATAAGATTCTCGGTCTCTAAAATCGTTGGTAAAGACCATCATATCTGACTACATAAAGCTTCTCTTACCCAATAAGAAGCATTAAGTATTTATTTACCCAGTAAGATCAAGCCAAAAGTGTTTTGTAACATCCCCTAAATTGGCAAGAAAAAGAAGCTGAAGAAAGAAAACCTTGCCCAGATGAATATCAAGAGCTGAATAGTGCAAGATTAATTTCAATACCAAAGATAGAAGAAGCAATTGAGTTGGATCATAAAGCATCATGACTCTCTCTAGCGGAAAACGATATCCGTCATCTTTCTTTCAGGAAATTATAAATCCCGTTGTTTGGCGATCTCAACATCGTAGTCGGATATTTCTCAAATCATTCCATCAAAAAATGGAACCAAGAGAACCAATTCCATCAGAACCATATCCAGTGCTGGTGAGATTATCACTGTGAAGCTTGGTGGTCTTATTCTCTGAGAATGATAACAGCTGATCCAACATATTATCACCATCAGACAGATCGTGAAAGATAAAGGGATCATAGTTTTCCGTCGAAACCGTCCTTTCGTTCAATGGCAATCCAGACATAAGATCCATATTCTCAAAAAGATCTTCAACTTCATCAGAAGTAAGATCCAATTCGACAGAATCTTGAGAATTTGAGTCAGGTTCTTCAGATGGTGGCTGATATTTCACAATTGCACCTTCGCAAGGTAGACCTATTGGTTCGTTCGGTTTTAGTATGGTCTTGCTAATGGGTTCAGACTTGAGCCTGTTATTTTCTATTGGTTTAGCCAAAAAACCAGGGCTTTGCATGGCTACAACTATAAATGACAGCATTTGTTGCTGGTTTTGTTCCATTCCTTTAAGTTGTTCTCGAAGAACCAACATCTTGGCTTGTGAAGTTTTCTGGTGTTGCCTCTGTTTTACGAGCTCCTGCATCAACGTATTCTTATCAGTCTTTAGACTCTCGACTTCCTTCCATAGGCCGGCATACTTGTTTCCTTCATTGGCACTGACATTTATCATCTTTGGCTTAGTAACGTTTTGCTGAGCAGTCACCGGTGATGCTTTCTTCCTGTTGATTGACATCAGCAAATGCTTTTGGTCTTTGATGAATCCGTCGTTCGCGAATTCCCATCTATCTGTATCATTTTTTCTAAATCCCTGAAGAAATTTTGAGTTAGAGATCATTAGCAACGAACTCTAGTTCTGTTCTTCAAAGATAACTTGCACAAAAATCAGAAAATCACCATAGTAAGCAATCAATACCCACCTTATCAGACACTTATGCTGAAGAAATACCTTTGATATCATTATCATAAAAACAGTATGGATAACATGTATTGAACAATAAAAACTTACAGCAAAAGGCAATTTGCACATAGATAGAACAAAAAGTTAGAGGTTTGTTCCCAAGAAAAAATACGGTCGAAAGAAACCCACCAAGCCTACGCAATTGTACATTAGCCACTTGAAATCATTATGCTGCAAACGAGGCGACGAAGCTTAAAAGAGAATAGTTCATGTTCGCTAATTTAACTTTAACCGAACCACAAACACATGAACAAATAAGTTTTCTAGTTCATGTTCGTTCATTAAGAAAATAAGTTTGTTCGAGTTCATCTATCATAGTTTGTTAAGATGCAAAACAAAAACATAAAAGATCACAAAATCACAATCACCATCAATCATGAGACTATTGGTAAACAACATAGTAACTATTATAAGAATGAGAAGTAACAAACTAATTTGCTACCCGGTGTAGGAGTTCCCCAAATTGCCAAAGGAAGAATTCGTGGCCCAAAAGTGTGGATTGTGGAATGTAGAAGACAGGAGAGAAGTGGGATGCGGCTACGGTTTTAGCTTCAAAGTATTTATATTTATATTATTTTTAATATATATGTACATAAAACAAATAGATTACAGAACGTTCATGATCTTGTTCGTTTTCATTTTCTAACTAACAATTAAAAACCATGTTCATATTTGTTCATTTATTAAAAGCACGAACTTCCTGTCAAACAGTTCACAAACATTTCATTAAGCATTCGGTTCCTTTTGCAGCCCTAAAAAATCATAGCTCAATTGACAAAAGCCCATCAATCTTACACAACTTTACATATCTTGTATGCAAGATTTCAAGAATACAATGCAATCACTGTTGTATGATTACATCTTTTACAACGAGAAAGAGAAGTCAGTTATGACAATCCATGAGCCTCAAGCAGAAAAACTCTTGATCATACCAAATGCAGACAGTATTGGCACAGGAACATCAACATATTTGTCTCATGAAAATGTTATAGCCGGTTTCTACAAAACTTACCTTGCCCACAGTATTTCCATCTAGAATCTCTATGATTCCAACAAAATCTTATCAACTATCGGTGCTAAATTACCATAGCTTTAGCCATAGATCATGGAATAGTCTCTTCTATGTCTATTAACTTGATAACACTAACAAAAAAAAATTACCAGAAAGAAAGACCCTATCTTTAATGTCATTTAAAAGCATTCCCAATACCAGTTCTACAAAAAGAAATCACCTCTCTACAAATGCAACATTAACAAATCCTGCAGACTCCAGTTCTTAATGTTTTGTCTTCTAAAAATTAGCAGAAATCAACCAAAAAGGATCACATTCCAGAAAAGAAAAAAGAGAATTAGAGATTTCAGTTTCAACCAAGAACATTACGCTGAGATGCAAACCATATGCAGCAGAAGTTAAAATGTCAACTAATATAACCACATATATGTAAACGACGCTATATGCTTTATGAATCCACTTAAACAACTAACGAAAGGCAGCTTAAGCAACGTGAAATCTATTTATATATGAATCAATTTGAAAGAAGAATAATACTATCATAGACAATCAACGTAAGAAAATTTTACATAAAACGGATAGTAGAACTAGAATCGATTCACGTAACACGTCATAAAAAAGTATCAAGCAAAACAATCGAGAAATAACAAAATTGGGCGAAGAATATAAAAAGCTCACGTAGATATTGAGTTGGCGTTGGAAGCTGGCAAAGGTATTGTGCTTGAAATATCTAGGAAGCAATTCAGAAGTAAATTCCGCTTCATTCCACACTATGAAGCTATCATTAGCTAGACTCCATGAAATCAAAGCATCGGTGGAAGGATCATCGACCATCTCATAACATTTCAGCAAAAATGGCGGAATCAGTAATCCACCATTCTCCGTCGATTTCTTCACCATAGTTGAATATTCAAGAATTGCGGTGTAGCGTCGTCCACAGATTTTCCAATGAATTTGCAATATAATGTGCAGGGAAACTGAAACTGAAACTGAAACCCTAATAAAGGGGAGAATCGAGGAGACTTTGACTGGAAGGAAGTTGCAGGGGCACCGCCATGGAGAGACAAATATCTCCTGTTTCTTTTCGCTTTTTGATTAATGAAAGGACAAAAATATCTTAGTGAAAGAAGGATTTTTTTTACGTGGTTGTTTTTTTTTTTTTTTTTTTTTATAGAGGTTTTGAAGTCTGATTTTATTTTTGATTTTTAAGAAGCGGTGTTGAAGTCTGAAATCTAAATTAGTCAGACTGTTTGTTTTTGTAAACTGACAAACGTCTGGAGTTTCAAATCTGAATCAATAGTTTGTTTTTATAACCAACAAAACATATGAATATGTATAATTTCTGATTTCCCTTATGTTTATGTTTCCAAGATTCTTTTAATTCTTTCTCTCCTCTGGATCAAGTCTTTCATCATCAATCTTCACCCTCATCCCACCACCGTCCACCACCACTCCTCTAAAATCCAACGCCCGAATCCACCTCTAAAAATCGAAGCAAATCTCCATCATGACGAAAACTACAGGGACGAAAATACCTTGATTCACGAGGATAAAGGTGCATGATTACTGGTTTGCACAGGAACGAAAACACACAGTGGCGAAAACCCACAGAGAAGAAAACCCTCTTGATTTGGATCTGATTTGGGTCAATTTAAAGCCACCAGAGGCGATGGAGGGTGAAGTAGATCGATTGAGACGGTAAGGAGGGTGAAGTCGATCGATTGAGAGAGTGAAGTCGATCGATTGAGAGAGTGAAGTCGATCGAATGATGAAGTAAAAAATCGGTTCTCTAGATAGTCTTCAGGATTAAAAGAAAAATAAGTGGCTAGGTTATCACTTAATTTTTAAGAGGAAAATAAGGGATAAGTGGCTATGAAAGAAAAAGAAAAACAAACGGTCTGAATTGCCTTATGTCTAACCGAATCAGACATAAGTGGTAAAATAAGAGCTTTTTAAATAATAAAAAAAACAAACACCACCTTAGTGTTTGGTATGCAGACTGAAAGGGACAGAACAGGACGGGATAAAACATGACTAATTATATGTCCTATGTTTGGTACGACTAGGACAGGATAGGACAAGACTGTTAAAATGATCATATTACTCTTAAATGTTGTTCATTGTTATTTTATATTATATTATAATTGTAAATAACAACAAATCAACTAAAAAATATTTAAATTATTTAATCTATGATATCAATACTTTTTTTAACATTCCAATACCACATATAAATAACATTTGTCATACCATAAATTTGAAATACACATATAATTTAAAAAGTTTAAACACAATAATTGTAAATAATATTTGTCACGTCATTGTCAAAAGATTAACATTTCAAGAATGAAGACTGGAATCGAGAATGGAAGTTGTGGAAGAGAAGAAAAAGGATGCAATTAAATTAGGTTTGTATTTTAATACCAAATAATAAGAGTAATATTATAATCTCAAATTTAGTCGAATGTTGTTCTGTCTTTTTTGGTGGAACAAAAAACTTAAGAATAGTCTCACTCAATCTTATTTTTGTCTCATGTTGTCTCATCTCATTTTTGTCTCATGGCACACTAAACATGAGACTATTTATTTTTGTCTCGTCCCGTCCTACTCAGTCTGCATACCAAATGCACCTTAAAAACCCAACAAATTATCTTATTTTAAAGGGTTAAGTTTTTAAATTACTTTTAAAAAGATAATTAGATTTTTTCATTTTGAATAATTAAGTTCTTAAAGTATTTTTTTTAAACGAAAAAATCATTAAATTTTCTCATTTTGAATGATTAAGTTCTTATATACTTTTTTTCAATAAAATAAATTATCGAACTTTTAAAAGTTAGTTACTTACATAATTTTAAACCAAAAAAAAAACCTATTTGTAACCGACTAGAAATGTCTTAAAATAAAACTACTTGTAACCTCTTAAAAATATATCAAAAAGAGGGAGATCGACGGCAGAGGCCAATAGTGTGATAGGCGATATGAAGAACGACAACGTGGGACGATAGTGAGTGGCTAGGTTTAGTGAAATCTTTGAAAATGTGAACCTGAATTTTGATAAGTCAGAACCGTGTGGTTCTCATTTTGCTCTGAAAAGTAACAATGAACACTCGAAAATTGGGCAAACCACCAAATATTATACAAAATATGCACTTTAGTATTCAGATATAATTGTTCAACAATCAGGGTTGGAAATTTTTTGCAAAACTTGCCGAAATCCTCAACTTATAAAATCTCTGTAATAAAAAAAAACCATATACGCTAATAGGAATTAGTCACTCAATGTTTAGGCACTCTTGCACACATAAATAAGAACAGTCAAATATATATATATATATATATATATATATATATATCATCTGGTTTTCGGATAAATCGTCTCAAGATAAAGATCATATGATTTGGTCCTTAAAATGTCCAAAGAACTCAATACCATGCATTTTTCGGGTGCTTTTGTGAAATCAAATGCATCCAAAAGTGTGATAATACCCAATAATCACCATAATTTATAAAAATTAATAAAATCGTATTCACATGATTTGTATCTTCAAAGTTTCACATAGACTTAGTTATGAGTATTGTTTATTCAAGTAAGCAAAGGACAACCTAAAGTTGGATAAATCTCAATCATAACATTTTAAATGGTTTTAAATCGACAAAAAATCATAATATGTAGGATTTACCTTTTAAAAATCCAAATACTTCAAAATATGAATTTTCCAAACATTTGTGCCAATATATATATAGGGGAGCGATCAAATGCAAACCACTCAATTTGTACAAACCGTGCAAACCGCATTCAACCAATCATAATTTTTCATTTTGTTCATTTTTTTGTAATTATGAGAGGTTGATTAATCATTTTTATTGTGGAGGGTGTTAATCATAGATATTATCA